CTAAGAAATAGCAAACGCTGTTTGAAAATAGCAGCTTGTTCAGAGCAGGGGCAGCTCTGAGAAGAAGCTGGTGCAGCTGGAACAGAAGAAAGTACAGGGAGCGGAGGATTCAAGCTGCCTAGAGATCAGGGACATCAAATTATTGTTGGATTTGTACATGTAGCATTTGGGTGCTAGTTTGATAAAAATGTGTATGACTATGTTAAATCCTCCCTGAAGCTCTTCTGTTGACAGTACTGGGGCTGCTTGATAACAAAGGGGTTGTTTATCTCACCAGTGCATAGTCCAGCAGTCTGCTTCGTAGCGTCTACCAGGAAAGGAATGCCTGTGACTAAGGAGCAGGGTTCAGGCCAGCCTGCACGGCATCTACAGTTACAGCCTTTCTGCTGTGCACGGGCCAATAAAAGTCAATTTGTTCATTCCTCTGCCAGTTATGCTGCAGCAGATGAAACAAACAGGGAAGTTCAGGCCTGAGATGGATCAGATAAAGATATAAAGAGGTTCAAGCATCTGGGCATAGAATTAACTTTGACCTTCCTGAAAGCTAAACTGTCGTAACTTGAACCCAGCTACACAAATTGACCCAACTTCAGAAGTTCAAAGTGACATCAACCAAAATTTTGGGGATGAAATAAATTGATAAGCAAGAACTGGTCTGAAGCCTCTATACTCAAAATTATACTCTCCCAAAGATTACTGTACACAGAACCATTGTGGGTTGCAGCTGGGGATACATTAGAAGCACCTCTGATAAGCAAGGATCCAGACCTAGGTGTACGCGGCTTTTTCTCTCCCTGTCCCACAGCACTGCATGGTAAAGCCCTGCCTGCTGCCCAGCTACGGCAATGCAGCAGAAATCTGGCAACCTTTCCCTGATACAGGACAACTGCACAGTGGTCTGCTCGCATCCCTAAAGCTCTGGCACACCAAGGGAGAAAGGTGATACTGTTGCAACTGGACTTCCTGCTGGTACAGAAATATTTGCCTCATTTGTTTGTTTGTTTGTTTTTAAAGAGAGAGAACAGAGATCTTCAGCTCTGTGCGACTAGCGCTGTCCCAGCTTTCAGCTGCAGCCAACTATCGAACGTGACATTTGTCGCTCCAAAACCAACCTTTTTCCATGTCACAACCACAGTCAGTAAAATTTTGGGAGCCAAGAGGTACATTAGCTCACTGAGGATATTGTTTCAACTTCTGCTTTTTTACAAGCAAGAAAAAAGTCCTGGCACGCTGAGAATGACTTCTTTCAGTAGCCACAGAATCGCCTCACAAAGGTCCAGAGCTGGCAGGTTCTGACTTACAGATTTTGCAGGTCAGGACCAGACTGCAAAACGACTTGGAAACCAACACACAGCACCAGAGGAATGCACACTGTGAGTTCTTTTCAGAAGATATTAAGTTTTAAAAATAAAATTAACAGTTAATCTAATAATCATTCAAGCATGGCCTGCTGGGTAGGAGTGCTGCAGGGCAACTCACTTTTGATCAAGCATTAAAATAATTACAAGTAGGAACTGTATTCGCAATATGAGTTTTTATCTGTTGAAGGCATTGGCGTAAGTGGACCGCAACAGCCTTCACTTTGCCAAGCGGGACACAAAAACTGATCCCAAGAAGGATCAGAAAACTGATTTATGGTCCTGGCAGAAATCACTGCATACGAGCACTTATTTTGGAAGATGAACAGACTACAGAGCGATCTGGGATCCACACATATTGGCAAACCCCATGTAGACAGAACAGATCTCTGAACTTGCTACAGAACATAAGGTTGATGCAACAGCGCCAGGTTTCTGTGCAGTGTTAATTCACAATCACGGTGAACATGAGAATTAAAAAAAAACCCCAAACTGTAAACTTTCAGAGCCATAAGGTGGGGGGAGCGGTAGAGGGTGTGGAAAAACAGGGAAAAAAAAATATATATACGTTGCAAGGCGGTGGTAGGCTCATTCCAGTAAGCAGCACAATGACCTGAAAATCAGGAGGTCCAAATTTTAATCTCTCCTCTATGGGGAAATTGGAATATTTGAGAATCAACTATTATCAAAAGCCCAAGAGGAGGGGTAAATGTTTAACACCTTCCTCGCCCTTCACAGTTTGCACACTTGAGCGCACAGCTGGCCAAGTCCTTTCTGGCCGATCACAGGAGCAAAGCACAGACTACGGCAGTGGGTACAAGGACTGGGCCGAGAAGAGATGGAGACCTGGAGCCGTCCCTTACCCCGAGGTACCGGCTGTCGTTGAAGAGCCGGGGTGGCAGGGGGTTCCCGCTCGCTGGCCGGCTGTCTTCAGGGACGTTCTCGCGCATCCACTTCCGATTCTCCTCATTGGCGGCGGGGGTGGGGGGAGGTGTGGGGGGGGAAGAGAAAGCAAACGAGATCAGTCAATTTTTTTCTGCTGCTGATTCTGCTGCAATTCTGGTGTTCAATGCAGAAACAAGGGGGTGCAAAACAGGTTGAAAATGGCAGTGGTAAGAAAATTCTTACGATAATAAAGTATCTTCTAAAGAGGCGTATCTGAGCCTTGACTTGACTCGTGTATAATTGATCACGCTTAAGTCTGATAACAGTCCCTATGTGAGTGCTGTGAACCTCAGAGGTCTCCAACCAAAGCAAAGGTGCAAGCAGTCCCCTTGCAGAGGCTGTGTTGTCCAGGCCTTATAATTAATTTGGGAGAAGGTTGTGTTTTCAGGTGCAGTGAAGTCTGCTGGAGGGACATCTGAGGTACAACCCGCTTCCTTTGTGCCCCTGGAAGCACAGGCTGAACCCACCCTTTGCAGACTCCGGGTTTTTGACCCCCTCATGTAAGCTGCGCACCTCGCTGCGGGGACTTCCCGCCAGATCTCATAAAGCCATCATTAACAGTAAGATCTCAAAGCGATTTTAGCTCATGTTTCTTTGGACAAAACTGCATCCCCCCTCCTTGCTCATCTCAAGGAGAAGTCTCAGAAGGGCTGATGGCACAGGCTGGACGAGATCCCGCCCCTGTGCAGCCCGTCCTCTGTGTACTCACACAGCACCCAAGTGAACAGCAGGATCTGTGCGGCAAAGACTGTGCTGGTTTTTTTACAGGAAAGGTTGTTTTTATTACTGTCATATATGAGTTATTGACTTCCTGATACAGAGATCTTCTGCTTAGGCTCTGTTCTTCCTCTGCATGACTTTACCACCGTAAAGGAAATTATAACCATGCGCCTCCTGGCAAACAACAGAAAATGGGATTTAATGGGAAATTTGTTCTCTTCAAATTATTCCCTTCACTACAAGACCAGTCCAAGGCCTGGCTTTAACCTAATTATTTCTGTGCAACAAAAGCAGCGCTTCGTACAGATGTTGCACTGCTGCTAATTCAGGTCAGCCCCCAGCTTCCCCGAGCAGCCTCTCCATATACGGCGAAGGGAGAGCAGGCAGCTCCGGCGAGCAGCCGAGGTCGGGGCACAGCCGGGGCACAGCCAGCCGGGAGCCAAATATGGTGCCTGGGCCCCCGGCTCGCACTGAGCTGGGCCGGGAGCTGGAGGGAGGGTGCGAGGTTTTAGTGTAGGAAAAGTGCTGCCCTGGAAGGGTGCGGTTTGGGAGAGCAGAGCCTCCCCGAAGAGGACACTTGCTGTGCCTTGGCAGTCTTTACGCATCCATCGACTCCTTCTTTAGCAGCTCCTTTGGAGCCATCGCTGCTGGCTGCGCGACAATCCGTGATAGGGAACCAGTCCAGGTTAAACTAGATCTTGGGGAAGGGGGGTGGCTTGTTTTTGAAAATCTGGATAGATAGATCTCCCTCTGCATCTAGCTCAGTGTAGTGCAAAGGACTCTCCCGACGGAGGAAAAACACGCTCCCACCTCCAGCGGGGAAGCCGCCTGCCCAGGGCTGCAAGAGCCAACATAATTCCTGCTAACAAGCCAGCAGAAGAGCTGCTGAACTCAATTAGCGAGTACCCTCGTACCCTTAAACAGAAGAATATTGCTGGGCATTAGCTACTTTTCATTGCGGCTAAAAATAAATAAAAACGGACAAGTTAATACCACCCCGAGGAAATAATTCATGCTACAGGCTGTAGAGAAAACCATTTCTCAGCAGACTCGAATCTACTGGTAAGAGATTTCTTCGCTCGCCGTTAATAACAGGGGTCACAGCAGGAGGGAGCAGTCAGGGGAAGTTTTTCTCCATTGTGCCATACAGCTCAGAGGGAAAAAAAAAAAATATAAAGCAAGCACTTCATGAACTATTCTGTGGGGCTGAAACAAGGGAAAGGTCTTTGTAATTGTGAACTCTCTGCCGGTGGGCAGTATCTACGGCAACTTACCCACCCCCCGGGGAATAAGTGGAAATTTTTTTTCCCGAACTAGTTACATTGTAATTACCCATTTCCCACCATTTGTAAATTACAGATCCCAGTAGTTTTCATTAGTCCCAGGTCCTTAACTTGTCCAAAATCCACTGCTTAGTGAGCAGGGTTTACCCAATCTATTAAACTATACACTCTGCCATGCAAAACAAGAGCTCCAAGTCTGACAGCAATTTGCATTTTGATCTCCTGAGAAGCCTCTTTATTTTTTAAACCATTTTTACGACGAGATTGCCTCCTAGCCATAGGCACATCCTCCCACCCCAGCACCTCAGCTCGGTCCCAGTGCAAGCCCTTCCCAGGCAGACCCCGCATATCCAGTCCTTCCATGCAGCACCCCATCTGACAGGGCTGGACTATCTCAGCCATCAAGATGCTTCTTCAACATGAAGAAAATGTCTCTGGCTACCCTATGTGGCCATTATTTCATATGATGAACTTAAACTGAGTTTTCCTCTTAGACACATGTATGCAAAACATCCCTCCGTATGCTGCCACATTGCCTGGTTTGCTCTGTTTTCACTCATTCTCCCAGCTTGACAGAGCAAGGACAGTCTCTGGGTTGTTTTTTCTCAGCTACAGGTAGCACGACCGGATCCCAAGTTCACGACCGCAGCTCTGAAGGGCTATGACAGCAGATAACCCTCTCTGCTTGTTTATGAAGAGCTAGCAAAGCTGGAAATATATTTTTTTTCTGCTATAAAAGGCACCGCGTGGGAGGCAAGCGTGGCAGCTTGGTCTCTGTGCCGCTCTCAGTCCGTCTGTGGTCAAAGGAGGTAATTCTTTAAAGAACCATAAAGAAAAGCAAGGCACTGGGGTGGATGCATGGGTAATATTAGTTTGAAACCCTCGTTTTCTGGTCAAAGGGAAAAAAGAAAAAGTTGGAAATTTAAGAGGCGATGTCTTCCTCCCAGCTCCTCAGATGAGCCTTCCGACCATGGTGACTTACACATGAACATTAAACGTGCCAGAGAAACACGGCACCAACCACTGGGCAGAACAGACACCGAGCTGCCAGATCGCATTATTTTATGGGATTTTATTTAGAAAACTTCTATTAATCTCAGGCACTGGAATACCACTGGGAGGGAAGTGCCCAAAATAGAGCAAGAGATGCCTGCTGCTGCTGCTGCTTCAGGGTAGTCTGTTGTACTCGAAAGGGTATAAGCTCTCCCCAGGACAAGAGCCTGGAAGATGGTTCCTGCTGCCCATGTTTGGGAAGGAGCAAGGAGCCGTTCTTCAGGATGCGCCTGTCAACACGCAGCACTCGCTTCCCAAAAAAACTTCTCCCAGCTGCCTAACCGGGCACGGACACCGGCCAGCGCCTTTCCAGACACCGCACCTCATCCTACTCAAACAACTGGCATGTCTAAAGCTATTTTGGCCTGTGAGCTGCAGCTAACCACAGTTTGCAAACACAAAAATCCTTGTTTATACTGAGCGCTCCTGACACATTTTGCAGGGCAGAGGGTGCCAGCGGAGAGCTGGGAACGTGCATGCAGTCAGCATGGGAGCCGGGGAGCCGAGAGCAACGCTGCTGTGGCAGGGTCCTGAGGCTGGGGGACCAGCACTGGAGAGACAGGAGGACTCGTGGATAAGACACAAAAGCACAAGAACAAGAGAGAAATCGGGGACAGGGATGGGTAGGCAAATGCATGGAAGGAAAGAGGCTGTGGGCAAGAGCGGATGGGAAAGAGCAAAATGGATGGCTAGAGATGGGGGGGAAAATCCCCGGGGTGGAGGTGGGATGGAGGCAGGGGGATGGAAGGAGAAGGGCTGGGGTGGGAGCAGCAGAAGTCAGCACTGCCGAGAGGAAGGGCCGCATCCTGCTGGAGCTCACCGCTGCCCTGCCTGGGGAAAGGGGAATGCCCTGGTGAAAGCTGGCACTGCTCACAGGCGGCTCTGCCCCCCACCCCCAGAAACACACAACCTGGTTTCTCAGCCTGAACACACCAACTCGCGCTTCTTGGGGCGTTCTTGTGGGAAAAACAGCTAAAATGACTCAGGTGAGTGGAAATGTTATACTTTTTGCTGATGTTCCTAAGGTCATGCTGAAAGGAAACATTTAACCAAATGAATCTATTTTCACTTGGTTTTGGCTTTCACTGTCTGTTCCAAAGACAGAAACAGCTTTATGGCAAGTGCTTGGAGGTTAAGCAAAGTCTCACCACCAACCTATAACCTTCTGCGTACAAAGGCTGCACAAGCAATGTTAGAAGCTCATGCTTCCAGCAGGCTTTTTTTTTTTTTTTTTTAAGATATCCTTGTGTATCAAGACTCTCTTCCTTTCCAGTTACAAGCCAGTCACTAAATATTAAGCTTTCAACAGAGCATGTGCATAGAGTAATGTTACGAAAATGAGTAGTTTCAGATTCTTGTCCCTCACTTGAATACACATCATAAGCTAAATTTACTGTTCTAAGATCTAACTCGCATCAGCGGACGACGTCGCCCACGCAAGAGAAACCACATCAAAACTGCCAAGAGTAGAGACGAGTGCCATTTTCCAACAAACTGCAGTCCATCAAAAATGGAGCTTTAACCCCAAAGCGGGCAGAAAACTTCCCAGAAAATGCTGCAACATTTTAGACTCAGTATTTTTTTTTCTCCTCCACATCTTTACTCATTGGGAAGAAAAGAAAAAAACAAATAACAAACCAAAAAAAAAACCCAACTCAAGCACAAGATAATAAACAGAAAGGAGGCAGGGGCGATGCTGCAGGTCCTTGGTCCAGCGAGCAGGCAGTGCTCCAGCCCCAGGACTGCAAGCGGGCTGCCCAACAGCCAGCCTCTCTTGGCACTACCCCCTGCAAGGAACCAGTTGGTTTAAACGCTTTCTTGACATGAACTTCAGAGAAGTTCCTGTCTTATTTGGTAGACACAGGCACACACATACAAAAGAACAGTCTCATTTACACTGCTGGCCAAGAGGCGGTTTTGGTTGGGTTTTGAAGTCTTGTTATTTTTTCAGTTTATAAATAAATTCCTTGT